ACCAGCACTGAACCAGCTGTGGTGGCACTAAGTAGCTGAACAGCTGTCACAGGGGGTGTTGCCAAGTCAGCAGGTTGTTTGTGGTTTCTTTGTTTTTTACTTTGAGTCAGGTTAGATGCAGTTTTTCTGGAGCTGCCCAGAGCTTAGCATTGAAACCATCATCAATTTGCACATGGCCAATTTAGTATATTAAGTTTCTGTGTAATGTTGAGAATCAAGAGTGCCTTGAAGATTGGGAGGGGTATTATGTGAGACATTCAATTAAAAGTTTGTGCACTAAGCGGGTGAGGCGGTTAGTGGTGGTACAAGCAGCTGTATTCTGTTCCAGCTCAGTGCAGCGAGTGTCTGTTGGAGCAGATGTGGAGATAATTTTTAATGCTTCAGAGATTCTCTGTGGGAGTCAAGTAACAATGTTTGCCCGACAAAGATGAATTTGTCTAGGAGGCGACTGCAACAGAAGTGGAGGGGGGGGACAACAGAAGTGAAGTTGTCCTATGGAAATCAGAGTTGGCAGTAACTGTAATCTTTTCAGGGGTTCTTGGTGTATTTGTGGTCTTGGAGGGCTGACAAACTCCTGACTTCAGTGGGGACTGCTCTGGTGTTACATCCTATGCTAAATCTATTTGTGAGGATAGTAGTGTGGGGGAAAAAAAAAAAAACATGAAATGCCAAAAATCTGGGCCTGCATCCTCACTTGCCAGAGTCCCTGACTGCTTTCATTTTCTTGTGTAATGTTCAGCAGTCAGCTGGGTGAATAATCCTATTATTTCACCTCCTTTCCATACAGAAAATTGGGGACTCGTACCGCGGCTATTGTGTGAGCGAGACAGAATTAGAGAGCATTCTAACGCTACACAAGCAGCAAACACAAAGTGTGTGGGGGACGCGCCAGTCTCCAAGCCCAGCCAAACCTGCCACACGGTTGATGTGGAAATCTCAGTATGTCCCATATGATGGTATCCCCTTTGTCAATGCAGGTAACTAACTTTTATTTTAATAACTACTTTCAAAATTTCAACATCAGTTGCCAACTGGCCATAAAGAAGGATCTTTATGGTGTTCCTTAGTGTTGATTAAAGTCAAGGCACAAACATAAAAAAAGAGCAGCTTGGGCACCTCCGTGACACAGTCTGAAGGAGCTGGTTTCCCTGAAACCACAGGCTTATGTTTTGTTGTGATTATTTCCTTTTGTTCTTTAGAAATAAATTAGTTAAGTACCATTTGATGGGGGTTCTTGTGATGAGATCTTTAGATGGGGGCCCCATCTGCTCTATCAGGATGTGAAAGTTCTTGTAAGGGTAAGAGCTTGTTCAAGTATTCTTGCCTAACTTGGAGATCCTTTGAAGAGTTTGTTCCACAGGAGCCAATAAACTATTTGAATGGCACCCTTTAAAAAATTAATACATTTAAAAAGGAAAATACACATCACTGTATCTCAGCAGACAGATTTTTTTTTTTTTTAAATGAATGTGCAGACTTCACAGGTAGGTAATTAGAAGTTTAGCTCATGCAATGCATATGTGAAGTTAATAAGAGTTTATTCAGGTATGAAATTAATAGGTTTTAGTTGTTACATAGAGATCATGAATGACTGGAATGTAGGTTATGTGCTTGATTTTTTTTTTCCCCTGAAAGTAACTGAAAAAGTGAAATGTTATCACCAGTTTTAAACCTTCAGCCATAAACTGTGAGGTATAAGAAAGCTAAGAATGAAGCCAAAACGACTTACACTTCTATTTTTTCCCCCAAAATGCATAGGAGACATTTTTAGTTTCATGTAAGATCTGCCTGATAGTGAGTTGCCCCACAGTAAGGTATTTAGAGCAAAAACACACATAGATTTTTTTTTTTTTCTTTAAAGTGTTGTAGACTACTAGAGACTCAGATTATTAAGTTGTAATATTTTTGCTTTGCTCAAACTCCCAAACAGGCATTATGTATATTTCTAATGTGTTGCCTTTCCAATATGTTCAGGTTGAATTTATAACTCCTCTGTGAAAAGCTTTCCTTAAAATCCTTTACACCAGAGGCAGAGCAGAGGCAGTAAACATGATTTACTGAACTGCAGTTTAAATCCCAGATAACACTTCCATCCTGCACAGTTTAGAATTCAGTTATTCTCGAGGAATTTATCCCTTCTGCATAAGTGGAACCAATCTGTAATACATTCCCTGCTGGGGTTGATTTGTGGGGAAATACAGCTGGGTATTTGAGCTGGGTAGCTCCTTATAGTGTAAAACATGCACTAATCATCAAAATCTTGATTGTAATTTTTAATAAGAATTGTGGATAGTTGATACTTCTGTAAAATAAGGGCCCCATCAAATTGCTTTTGAGATTCATATTAGCAAGGACTAGTTTAAAGCTGTTGAAGTCTTTTCAATCCTAGAAGTTCCATTTGTTTGTTTGTTTTCTTTAAAAAAAAGGGACCAGATATCTGTTTGTTATACATAATTCTCTTTTAACTTTCCTATTTATTTGCATTGATTTTTTTTTTTTAATGCCATACTCTAAGGCAGTAAATCATTGGGTGTCTTATGGAAACACATCATGTTGCTGTTGTGATACTTAAATGTTTTGGTTATATCACTTGTGGTATAGGCAGCTTCTTGCCTGCATACTGGAGTATATGAACTACAGATAAAAGATAACTAAACTTGACGTGGAAGAAATTTGGAAGAAGTTTATTGACCACTTTAATGCTATACCTGGTACCCGTTTTGTTAGAGGTCTGACTGGAAGAAGTCACCTACTTCAATTTTAGAGCTAAGCAATATTTGTTTAAGCCTGTCTGGTTTTGTGTGGGTATGCCACACTGAAACAGTGTTATTTAGCAGGTAAGATAGGTCAGGCTTGCAAGTAAGAATTTATGGGACAACATAGTCTGAAGTATTGATTTAAGACAAGAGACTGGAAATAACTGCTGACCTTTGATTTCAGCTGTGGTTTTTCTTAGTTATTTTGGGAATCCTGCTTCCCTTATGTTTATTACCGGTATTGTGCTCCTTTGGTAACTTGGAAGGCTGCTCATCTTGTTAAGTATTGGTGTGTACCAGGGCAGAATCCAGTATTTTGCCTTCGTATATGTTGCAGGAGTGTTGTGCGGTGTAGTAAGTTTGGGAAATGCTTTGAAAATGCTCTGTCTTCCTTATATGCTGCAAGAGAAGCATTTGCACTGTATCTGAATGCTTGCTGCACTTAAAGTGTTCTGCCTCTGAAGAGTCTGATGGTAAACAGAAATAACTGCTTCGAAACTCTCTTCTATAGTTACTGTTTTACTGTAATGGCTTCAGTTGGTTGCTTGAATAAATAGAGTGCGTTACTTTCTGTTCCCAGGAAGCAGAGCCATTGTAATGGAGTGCCAATATGGGCCAAGGAGGAAAGGGTTCCAGCCCAAAAAAGCTGGTGAGCAGGAAGGCACGTTTGGCCATCTGTACAAAGCCACTTGTCCAGCAAGGTAAGAATTGTCTGTAAAGCTGGAAGAGCTACTCAGCATCCTAAGGAAGTGTTCTTTCTGTGAGCCTTGGCAGAGCACTGTTTGGGGGTGGTAGCTGATATGCACTGTAGCTCTTAGTTTCATCTCTTTGATAACTTGAGTTTGGTATTTATTTAAAGGGAAGGAAGAAATGCTGTCCTCTTAAACTGAGTAAGGCTGAGATTTGATTGATTGCCCAGATGCAAAGTAGCAGTACATCAGGATATGCAATACAAATGGGAATCATTCTCTACCTGAGCATTAATTAGTTATTGTGGTGTCCTTTAGTTACCATTTTTGGTCCTAAAACTTCTTATACGTTGTTTTTCCTTCAGGCTTTTAATTGCACATATCAGTCAATCATCCTAATTTTGCAGATGTCCTATTTGCTGAAGGAGTTACAGTTCTTCCTGTTCACTGGGGACTTTCTTCTTCCACAACACTAGTGTTTTTTTCCTGGTCCTTGAGCATCCTCCTGGGTGTTTGTTCAGTTTTTACTGAGCTAAGAGCGTGTTTACCTGGACAGCTGCAGCTGGGTTCAAGTTCAATTCTGGCTTCAAGTTGGGTCAACTACAGCCCATTGAGAAACAGTGTTGTGCTTTTACTATACAGAGGGACAGAGGATTTTTGATGAAGTACGAAATGACTCTGAGTGGCTTCCGACTGGAACAGAAGTGTGTCTGTCTGTATCCATCTGCATCCATCTCTGTTGATGTGTTCTTAACAATTCTACAGTTCTCTTAGAGGCTCCTCAGCTCCTACAACACTCTGCTTTAACTTTTTCTATACTAGTATCTAATATGAAGTAGGTGGGGGTTTTACCTTCCCGCTGAGGGCAAAGTATATTGAAGGAGAATTTTTTTTTTTATTCCCCCTCCACCCCACCCCCACCCTTGGAAGGATCTATATTAAAAAGATTCAAAAGTTTCCGGAATACAGAGTCCCTACTGACCCTAAAATTGACAAGAAAATCATAAGAATGGAGCAGGAGAAAGCATTCAACATGCTGAAGAAGAACTTGATAGATGCTGGCGGTGTCCTCAGGTGAAACTTCCACTTTTTAATTTATCTTGACAAATGAAGCAAAAAAGAGCAATAATTTGCTTGGTTTGCTGTATTTTTTACTTAGTCACTTTATTAAGGTTCTTGCTCAATATCAATAGTAAAAAAATCCCACAATCTCAGTCAGACTTCTGTGGCTGTGGAGTTTTTAGTTTGGTAATTGTATTAAGCACCAAGCTGTGGAACTTCAATAAATGTTTTCATGCAGGGAATAGTTAGAAATAGTTGTATTATTTGGGGGGTTGAGCTGGTTTATTTTGCACTGAAAGGTGTGAGAGGGCCCTGAGCTCTGAAAGGCAGTATCTTCCAACTCAGGGGCTGTAAAAACTTAAGTCACTCTAACTAGGTCGTTTGTGATTGTCAGACTGTTCCCCCAAGAGACTAATTTTATTTCCTTTGCTTAAGAATTGTGTGTAGAAACTCTTTCCTTCTTGCCAGGTGGTATGTACAGTTACCCACTCAGCAAGCCCACCAATATCATGAAATGGAAACTTCCTGCCTCCCTCCTTCACCCTCCCATTTTTCTGTGTCTTCTCCTGAGGAGGAGGAGGAAGTTGTTAAAGATGAGAACTGCGCTCTGCCTTCCCGACTTCATCCTCAAGTGGCAGACAAGATCCGAGAACTGGTGTCTCAGGGAGTAGAGCAGGTCTATGCAGTGAGGAAGCAACTAAGGTACACTACTGGCATGCTCTCAGTCTGTAGTGCTATATGTACTTTTGCATTTGACGAATTTGGTTTGCAACTAAATGGCAGGGCTGATGCATTACTGAATATATTTCCCATGAGTCATGAAAATCAGTTTTTCCTAGCTTTTGTCTTCTCTTTCCGTTTCGTTGTAGGTAGCCACTAAGAGCTGCCATCCACTTTAAAGTTAGTTGTATAAATAGGGATTTTTAATTCCTAGCTCTGTAGCAGATGCACTAAGAACTGGCTTTTGCTCTTTTTGTTGCAACAAGGGGAGGGAGAAGATAGCAGTGGGGAAACAGTACAATACATTTTAAATATGCATATTTGAATGTCCTTTAACATGTGACAGAAAGTATGTGGAAAGAGAATTATTCAAGCCTGATGAAGTGCCAGAAAGACATAACCTGTCCTTCTTCCCCACTGTGAATGACATCAAGAACCACATCCATGAAGTGCAGAAGTCCCTGAGGAATGGCGAGATGGTGTATAATTCAGAAAGTATACCAGCAACGGTACCTTGGCCTTTATATTTCTTTTGATTGTTGGAGTTAAGTACTGGAAGTCTTATTTTTAATTTTTACTACTTAGCTGTATTTCATCCAAAATTCTCTATGGCTTTTTATTTCCAGCAGTAATATTTTTAGTGGACTCTCTGGCTGAGCAAGATTGGATTAAATGTGAATAAAACCTTTTGACCTTATTTAGTATTTATCTCATCAGCATTAGATTGCTATTAGTTGATTGACAAATTATACAATACTAGCACTTCATAATGACTACATGAACTGGAACTCACGTGGTGTAGAAAAATTGACACATGTCAGAAAATTTCATTCATGGCTTTGTCGTTGTCTGTGTTTTGGAGAAGTAACTACTACTTTTCTGTATCTGAAAAATGGGAATGAAGTATGGCTTATGTGCAGTCTAAATTAGGGCTTGCACAACATTTTGAATGTGTAAATATTAATAAATGCACTTTATAGCAAGTGAAATAAGCGTGACGTAGATACTTCAGAATGCTCAGTAACTCTTATGTGCTGTTCCTTAATTTTCTTCCACCTATTGAGTAATAAGGGATACAGAGTGACCCTAGTTTTCCCAGTTATGAGGCTGACTGCTAAGGAATTGCTGATTTAAAATCATCTTTGACAAACTGTACTGCTAAATCATACTGTCATCAGTCTTTTCCCTCTCCCTACAGTGCTCTTGGCCCAGGTGAGTGGGTGATACTTATTAGTTAGCCAAATGGTTTGACTATTTTCTATTTTAAAGCCTTTGAACTGTCTTGAGCAGACTTTAGCCTTCCTGGTATAGTGCATGTTAAAAAAATCTTTTACAGGTTGTTTTTTGTTTTGTTGTAAACCAAGAGCTCCCAAAATGCATAGTTACAAGAAAATAAGAAGGTGTAGTTTTAGACATGATTTTCCTACAGGTCCTTTATTAAGCCTATGTTCCTGTAGTAGACAAACTTGCACCCTTTTTGAGAACTGCGATCTTTTTCCTTTCAGCTGCAGTGGACCACAGACAGTGGGAATGTTCTCACAGAAACGGTGACTGTTACACTTGCCTCGCCACCTTCAGATGGTAGGACTGCATTAATACTTTAGCTGTCTACAAATGTGATTTGGTTTATTAGCTCTGTCACAGAAGTTCAGTTTCCTTCCAGAGAGGTTGTTGTCATGTTCTGTCACTCAGCTGAACTTCAGAAGGATTGTTTTTGGTGTGTCTATTTTGGCATACTTTTAACTAGTTGAGTGCATATGTGTGGAAGAATACATGTAGTCATGATGGGGTTGGCAGAAGGATGAAAATTGTAGATTTGGCTTTTGTTTACCATCCTCAAGCAACTGAAGATTTTAAGAGGATGGTTATGTGGAGAGAGTATTTTGCCTTGGATGAAGGTGCTACTAACAGCTGTGTAGAGAGCATTAAATTCCTACTGAACAGACATATCTGTCAGGGCACACAGTACCCAGGAGCCAACTGGGTACTTGAGTTCCTTGATGGTTTATGCTTCACACATGCTTAAACATCTTGCTAAAAAGGACGTGAATGCATGTTAGGATTCCTGCTTCTCACAGAGTCATTGGCTTGATAAGTTCCACTGCTAGGATCAGTCCCTGAACAACGAACACTGTATTTCTGTTGTCAGAATTGAGAGCACTCTTTTCCGTTTTTCTTAATGCTTAGGATAGAAATAGCAACACAGGTTTTTAGTGTCAGCAGGGCTGAGAGATATGTTCATTCAGTTCTTAGTGTGGTGAAACTTCTTTAATGTGTGAAGCCAAAGTAGCATCTCTTCCCAGTGACTGCTGAGACACCTAACAAAGTATTAAACTTTCTCCCACTCTGCTGCAAAACCAGAGTGTAGATTTCTATAGAAACTTGGTTCTATGCATTCATGGTCGAAGGTCTGGTTTTTTTGAAGATGCTAGTTACACTATTTTTCCTTTACTGAAAGTGGGTTCTTGCTACTATTACTCCAACTTCAAAACATGTACTAAAACAAAATACGGGTGTGTTTAACGAGATTTGCTTGCTACCCGCATAGTTAGGATTATACGTAAGATGAGATGCTTCACTGGAGCATGGTGGCTGATAATAAATTTAAAATGAGATTGTTGTTCCCTTTTCCCCAGGTTTCAAGGATATTTTGTCTAGCGTGACACCAAAAGAACTTTCCTGCGTGTTTGTGGATGCTTTCCCCATCCCTCATTTAATAGGTTTAGTATGAAACTCATCAGAAAAGTTGTTGGCTTTTAGCAGGGATATGATTGCAGCAAGGTGTAAGAGCCTAATTGTTTGCGTACATTAAGACAATGCTTCAGACTTCTTAGATGTGTTTGATCTCAGTGGCACTGCCAGCTTGTTTCCTCATTTAGTTGGAACATGCTGGTGGGTACTTTTTGTTCCAGACAGCTGATAGAGACGTCTACAGGGACCAAAGGGGCACTGCCACAGTCTGCCATGTTTAAAGATGTACTTGTGTCAACAGTTACCATCCATTGTGGTTCTTGCCTGAAGAAGTCCTGATGTGTTTGGATTTTTTTGCCCTCTGGCCCCTGTCACTGCCTGATCTATTTCTTACCTTTCTTGTAGCAGGAACAATAAACCCCCAGAGATTTGGCTCACTGTGTGATTTCTCCTAAATGACTTGGTGAACCTGATTTACATGGAGCAGCTCCATGCACACTAGTGCATTTACAGTTAATAAAAAGGCCAGTGTTGGGCTTTGTTTTGTTTGGGATTTTTTTAACTCTTATTTTAGCTGTTGCTGCAATGGATCAATTTGAACTGAAAAGCATCATGTACGTGTGGTGCTCTTAGGGTAAGAATTTCAGTGTTGACAACTGTCAGAGGACAAGAGGTAAATTTTTAGGCCCAGTTTGAATAGCGTGCCTCTTTTTTTAAGGAAGTCTTGTTTTTTAGGAAAAAAAGGAATTTGCAATATGAGCAGACTTACTGTGCATCAGCTTGCATGTCTGTGTTAATATTTCCATTACTGTGCTTTTATGGAGAGATACAGAATAGTTGTGCCTTCAACAGCTGTGATAGAGCTCGGCAGGGATTACTTTTGCTATGAACTGTCTGAATGCTGGAGAAGGTTCAAGAAGACAAGTTCTTGCTTTCTTTGTCTTTCATAGATAATTTTCGAAGGCAAAGTAGCCTATCAAACATGTAAACATCCATCCGGTGACATACTGAGTTTTAAAGGAAGCGAGAGAATTGGATTTTTTAGTTGTCTGCCATGTGTACCATTTCACTGAATATAAGCGGGTTTTTTATTCCAGCATATCCTGTCTCCACTTAAATATGTGGGTATGTGTTTGTACGCATTGCAAATACATGTTTATAATTGTATTACAAGTCTAAGCAAAAAAAGAAGCCTGACACTGAAAAAATCAGCTCTCATTAATGTATGTGAAGTGGTAGCAAGGGAAAACACCACTGACTTTTCAAATTACTGTTTGTATACATCTTTTTTCATTTCAACTTTTGCTGAATTGGGACAAATTTACATTTAAGAAATTGAACAATAACAGAAATAAACCCAGCTGTTTTGTTTTTTTGTTGTGCAGAACTCCATATCTCCATGTGATACAGCTTTCTCTGTTCTCTCCTAAGTGTAAGAATCACTGTAACTGTCAAACTTAAGTGTGTTCCCTTTTACATCTTTTATGAAGTATAATAACAAGTCAGATGAAGTACCACATATATGTGATTGGGTTTTTTTAGCTTCTGGCATTCGTACTGAATGCCCATGCAGTGTTTGGGTAGATTAGGAGTTGAACTATTAGCTTTATTCCTAGGCATGTTGGTGTAGAATACAACTTAAGGAAAGAACTACCGTTTCTTACTACATGTGAATATTCACATATGCATATGGGACCTCTGTGTAGTATTACAAAGAGCCTAAATATTTGAAGTAATTGTGTTCAAGGAGATTTATAGAGTATATCTGATGGGCAGTTACTATAAAGAGTTAGAGTTTGCAAATCTGTATACATGTTGAAAAATGTATCTCCACTTGTTTAGATTGCTGGAAACTTCTGCCTGATTTCCTGGTAGAAAGCTTTTTGCGATTGACCAGTTTCAGTTTTTCTCCATTCATCAGACTAATCTACATGCACAGGATAAGCTCTTCTTTTACAGTTATAGCAGTGAAATTGCAAAATAAGAGGCTAAGCAATGTCTACTTGTGTCTGGATAAATCTTATCCAAAGTGTTCTGAGTGGCTTAAATAGGAAATGGAATGATCCCCTGAGGTTTTTTTGCAGAAATTGCTAAAAGTGAACCACAATTTTTACAAGTCTTCAGGAAATGAAGTCCGTCATTCTTACATTAAATAAGAATTTTGAGGATATGATGTAATCTGTAGGCTGAAAGGCCTCCAGATAAATGGACTTTGGTGTGATACTGTGTAGAAATTATCCTAATTTCACGACGATGTTTGGAAGGGAGTGGTGAGACTTAGAGGATTTCCTGCGTAGATTTTTATTTTGGAAGACCACACTTTCTTTTGATGCCTGTCTGTTATTGAGCCCTTACTGAGGTGTATGTATTGTCAAATTATCTGGTTGCTGGTTTGATAGAAATGTTTCACTTTTATGTTATAACTAGAAATTCTAAGCACAGGGTAGGTTGCAATGACTTCACCCTCCAAAACGGATTTATTGGTGCTTCTGTTTTTTACTCTGAACAGGCACATACAATCTTCCTATAGTATTGTCCTTTCCTCATACCGAGCCATTTTTCGTTAGCATCCAACAACTTCTGCGAAGAGAACAGCATTTATGTATATACGTGTCTTTTATATGTCTATACTGAGATTGAAGTGGTTTGTTCAGTTCACAGGGGAGGCTTTTAAACAGGAAGAAGAAATTTGTCATAACTGTCTGCTTTGTCTCTGTGGCACTGTAGGGAGCTCAGCAGGGGAGTCAGTCGTCACCAAAGCAGAATCCAACCAGAGCGGGGGGTCCTTGCTACCAGAAACAGCTCAGCTGTTGTCTTCACTGTCTTCACTTCAGCCCAAGGTATTTGCACAACTTCAGGTACAGTCAAGTTGTTTACAGAATGTCAAACATTCTGCACCGGGAATGCTGAAGGCGAGCTGAGAACAGCAAGTTCCCTCTCAGCTAATGATGCCAAACACTGTCTATGTAACATGGACTTGGAAATAGCTGTCAGCTCTTACTTTGGCCTCTCTTGCATATCACATTTAGCATATAGCTGTGGTGCAGGGGATCACACTACCATTTTTTGACACTTTGAAGTTAAGGTCTCTTGTGAAGGCAAAACCAAGAAGATGAAGGTAGTGGGCTTCTGCTTCAAACCAAACACCTATTAATTTTCCACATGGTACAGTCATTTCATAATAAAAATGCTGCAAAACTGGGGGGAAATAAGTCAGACTTACTTTCTTCTTTTAAATCCTTCTCCAGCCTCTTAAGAAAATACATTAAAATCCTAAAACTGCTCCCAGCTCAGATCTGTAAACTTCCAGATTGAAAGGCTGAAGAGTGAGGATAAGAATGTCATGCTAAAAGAGCTTCTTCTAAAGCTCATGTCCCTTCAAAGCTGGCACTCTCAGCCTTTTTCTCTAACTGCTTCTTTGAAAAGCTGCCTTAATACTTCCTGAACCCCAATGAAATGCATGATCTTTTTCCTAGAAATAGTTGGCAGTAAGATGCTGTTCTACTTGCTGTGTCCCTCTCTTTCTGAAGACAGCCTGGCTCCACCTCTCTTTTCTTTAAAGCAGTATGGCTAGCTTTTAGTGCTCACCTCCTGTGGGAATGGGCAGTATTGGGGAATGATTTGAAACTGAATATTGATCCAAAATTAGAGCTTTATGGTCATAAGTAGTCTTCTAGTTGCTGCTGGATACCATTGTCCTAATTGTTTTCTAATAACAACGTTAGCCTGGGGTTGCTGGGATTGACTGTTTAAAAGAGATGATGTGTAGGAAGTCAAAAGCTATGTAGTTCCAACATTGCAAAATACGTGACATTAAACGCAAATTCCTCCTGCTGTAAATACTGGTATGTTAGTTCTACTGCCTTCTCTTTCACAGGGTTTACAGCTGCAGTCAACTTTTACCTCCACAAATGGATCAACAGCCCCGATAGCTGTAAATAACCATTCCTCTCCCAGCCCTGCAAGTCTCCTGGATTCCATAGGGAGTGCAATGACCAGCCGTTCTTTAGTACTTAGTCAGGGACACAGTCTGCAAGCAGGTGCTGGCCTAACACAGCATAATGCTGCTGCCTCTGTCTTTGGAACTCTGCCTGGCTCTGATCAGAGTCTGGTCACCATGGGCCAGCTGATAGCAGTTGGAGGGGTAGATGACTCCAGAAGCCTAGAAGGAGGAGTCCATCAGATTCTCTTGGGAGATGTACACACTATTCCAGTACGGATTGTGGAGAACCATCCAGCACTTAGTAAGTTTCAGTCTTCCCAGTAATGTGTAAATGTGGAAAATATGGTGGATTTTGTTCTGTGTGTCTTTAAGAAAGGCAAGAAATGTGTTGATAATGGGGCACTCAGCATAGACTTCTTTCAGCTGATTCTAATTAGTTTTTATTGTGAAAACATGACACGGGGGAGGGTACTAAACAAAAAAACACATCAGCCCCAAAACTTAGTTTTTGCTGTAAAAAGGTGACTTCTTAGTTAAACTGCTGATCGCTTTCTTTGACCAAACACCAACTTACTTGATGAACACAATATTTTTTCCAAAAATCCTAATATTTAGCTAAAATTACAATCTTAAAATACATTTTTTTAAAAAGGAAAGTTAAGAATAGAAAATAACCAATACTGAATCTAGTTAGAACTCTTTGGAAAGAAAAGTGGGGTTTTTGATGACTTCTTTCTTTGTACCATCCCAGCAGATTTCTGAATTTTTTAAATAAAATTCTGTTAGGATCCTATAGTCATCAATATGCTTTAGAAGTAATCAGTTGGAGTTGTATGTAATTGCTTGGAATTTCAAACTTCTGTTTGAAAATACTTTTCAAAGAATACACAATAAGCACCATAAATAACTTCACCTCTGTCAAAATAGAAGGCTGCTTAAAATCATTGTTACCAAGGATACAGTCTTTGAATTCTCGCCATAGAACCTGATTGAGAATGAAAGCTTGCATTCTCAAAGAATTATTTCTAATTCTTGGTGAAGAAAACCTATTAGATTTGGTCAGTTTGAAGGTCTAGGTCAGTGCAACTTATCCTTTTGGCTTTCCAGAGGGTCTGAAATGTTAGCTGTGCAGTGCTTTATTATTTCTGTATTATCTTTTCTTGTCATCTGTGACTTCTAAAAAGGTTACTCTTGAGTAGTTTTGCAGGAACATCTAGGTAAAGATGTGCTAGATTGTAGCCTATACCTTCGTAATGCCATAGTGATAATTATCTCCATATGTCCTGATGACTTTTGCAGGTCAGCAAACTTAATTTGTACTAAAGTCTGTAATATTCTGAAAATGGAAATATAAGACTACATGAAGAAATGAAAAGGAAATAAAGGGTACATGAGGAAATTCACTGAAAATCACACGTGTTAAAATAATATTGGGATATTTTACTGTGGGAGTATTGTCAAAGTTAAATTTAAGGGGTTTCCTGCCTGCTGGACTCAAATGTTAGTGTAACTGTTTTTTTTCCCCTTTTATAACTGAATTTGACTACCCTCCTGAGAAATTCTGTTTTCATTCAGGGTAAAAGAATTTCAGAGAGGTTATAGAATGCACCTCCACCATTCAGTTGTTTAACCCATTTGTTCAATCTACATGTTGATGCCTCTCAAAAATTTTTGTAAGTGATGAGTGTTGTAAGTGACTTTCCAAAGAAATACTGTTTTACACAAAAAGAAATGTAGTCAAATATAAAATTACATAACTGCAAGGACTAAACTCATTGGGATTTCCCTTTTTTTTCTGCTCAAGGTCTCAGTCTATAATTGCCAGCCTGAATTTGGAAATTGTGAGAATATTGATGCCATTCCTAAGTTATGTGGAGGAATTGCCTATAAAATGAACAGATACTACTTTTTTTTCAGAGGCAAGTTCTTTGTCTGGAGAGCAGGAGGACTAAAAACAGTCTAGACTGAAGAGGGAATAATGTTACAGAGCTTATTTGGAGGAAACCCCATAACACCATATACTTGAACTTAGCAGTTCAGTCAGTGTGTATTTCAGAATATTTTTTTCTCTTGCACATGTGCATACACTTACACACATGTGCACTTCGTTAAAATTATCCTGTATGTTCTGGATTTTCTCTTGTCCAAGTCCTAACTTAAGAATAAGCTATCGCTTTCTGAAAATGTATGTACAGTCATTGAGAAGTGGCCAGTCATGCCTGAAGTGTAAGTCATTCTTTAAATGAACAAGCTTTAGAGTTAATTTTTTCAGCAATAGCACCTCCATTCCTCCTTTCCCCTGGAAAAGAAAAAAAAAAAAAGGTAGCTTTATTTATTTTTCTATGGCAAAGAGGAAAGACATTTTGTGTGAGAGTAATTTTATATTTCTAAACATACTTTTTTTTATAAAATGTTTTAACTACTCTTACTCAAGGGAGCCCTTAATGCAGTAAATTCATGTCAACTTGCAATGTCTTATAGTACAGTAGATGACATAACTGTCTGTCAAACTAAACAGCAATTAACTTCACAAATGCCTTACCTATTAGCTTGAGTTCCTGAAATATTTTTCTTTTAAATGCACACAGTTATTGGGGCTGAAGTTTTATCAGTGAGGTTTGAACTTTAGTGTTTGATTTTTGTTTTGTTTTCAAGCTGAAGAAAATACAGAGGGTGTTATCTGTGTGAGCCAAGTTAAACAAGAGCCAAGAGAAAAAACGTTGTCTATGGAGCCAAATAAAATCAGAGACTGCCATAGTTCCTCACCTATTTAAATCTGAGAAGCCTGGAAGGATTTTTCAAATCGGAGAACTCTAAATGTCTTGGAAGGAAAGGCGGGTGCTCTCAAAGTAATGCCATTCTTTTTAAATTGTATTGTGACACTCGGACTAGGTGTATTTTACACTAGTTCTGACAGACAGCTCTTTTGATTTATGACTGATGTGGCTCACTGCCAATTCCAGGTCATTCAGTTGCCCTGTGGAACACCAGCTTTCTCTTCTATTTCAAGTTTTCAGTAATTTGGATGCTATCTAAACGGCCCATTTTGATTGACATTGCTGAAGGTCTTCCACAATTTAATTCCTTAGCTTTAGAACATGGATCACAATGCTGGGTTTGCTTTTCTCCTTGAGACCCTCAACTGTTACAGCACTACAGACACCTTAGAATCTGCTAGCTCCAAGACCACAGAATCCAACGGCAACATGTATCAGTACCGCAATCGTTTTGTGACAAAGTGAAAGTCCAAGATGCTAAACTTCAAAGTGATGAAGGACATGGATGCTTAGGAAACGGCAGCTTTGACCTGATCACAATGTTAATGGTGTGAAGATCAAGGAGAGGAGAAAGGTGAGGTTGCCAGGTGAACTTAAGGTTGTAAGATGAAGAAAAGTGTGTGAATTCTAATGGTGAATGTTTTCAACTTGACATCTTTGAGCTTATGTTCTGGCTTTATAATGAGGTTCATTTCTGCATGCAGCCTTTGCAGTGGTACTGTATTAGCAGTCGGTCATAACAGCTGAAAGCAGGAGTCTTGTCTCATGGAAGATGATTTGATGCTGTCATTTCTTATCTACCTTTTGCTTTATGCATTCTGAGCTGGAGCTCAGATAAATATGATTTAACCTGCTGCTCTTCATGATGTAGGGCTTATGGATACATTAGTAACAGAAAGGCCCAAGAAAACAAAGCAAATAATATTAACCCAAGCAATATGTGCAAGTGTGCTCTCACTATAACATTCAGAATAAAACCTCATCTTTTTCAACGGTGGCAGCATCTAAGACTAAAGTGGTCCATGTTACTGAAAATAATTACCAGGAATCTTAAAAAAACTGATTATGATAAAGAAATATCTTTTAGCAATATTTACGCCAAAACCATATTAAGTGACAAGGACCGAGTTGCATAATCTGACACAGACATGTTTCTTTAAGAGAAAAAAACACACCTACAAATAACTTGGAATCCATTTAAAGCACTAAATGAAATTAAACTGATGCCAACATAGATATCAAGTTAAACAATGACATTGTTTGCTTGGGATGTCAAATTCTTAGAGCAACATTCAGAGTATTTTGTATACAGCAGTATCAGCAGTTCTGTTATGAGTTCCTACTAAGTGTCACAAACTTGATCATAAAATCAAGATGTTTTTTCTGCATGCTGTAGAAGAATGCAATGTGAGGACTTTCTCTTTTTCAGACTTAAAACAAACAAACCAACCCCCAAAATCAGAAAAAAGATTGGTTCATTTATGTTGAGGAGAAAGTGTTAGGAATAGCGGGTAACATTAACATTTTTAAATTGTTAAAATTGTTAACACATTCAAGCCATTCACAACCATCATCTAAATAGTAGCCATTTAAAACTAAATTTTAATTTTCTTTTTAGTATTTAAAGCTAAAACTTTCAAAAGTCTCACATTGAGCTTGGGTTCCTAATACCATTTTATGTAGCATCTGTTAGGTAAGTGCTATATCTTAGTCCTACCTTAAAATACATTAACTTCTGTGAGGCTAACACTGTTAACGCTGTTCATTTAAAGTTAATGTTTATGGGTTAGCTTAAATTAGAATTTTCCAACAGGATCATACTCTTAATAAATAGGAGTCAGTATTTATGCAAATACATAGAGTATCTCCAGTTTTTTGGAGTCTCTCACACTTAGTTTCTACACTGACTTGTTTTGTGGTATGCCTTACTCATTCCTGGGTAGGTAAAATCCCACAAGGTTCACCATTTCGGTTTTTTTTCTGTTCTTGTTAAGTGTGAAAATATGTCAAAATGGATGTTTTCTGCTGCAGTCGGAGTTCTGGAGCACACAGGTAGCAGTCACCTTTTCTTTTCCAACTCAGTAACTGTGTACCAGAATGGGTACCTCCTTCCAGCGCCACTGTATTCAGCGATTCCATCACCTCCAGTTTTTCTTAAACTAATGCATTCCAAAGTATATCACCTTTCTCAATATTACTCATTTTTTGAGAATTTTTCCTCCCTTTTTGAGAATGCTTATTCTCAAAAGAATAAATTACAGCTAAAGATTGCCAGCAAGAAGTTATTTCAGTTCAGTGTATTTTAGTTCTCTTCAAAGCAGACAATACATTTGTGGTTGGAGTAAAAGCTTATGGAAAGAGAAGTTACATTTCCATCAGTATTGCTTAGTTCCCTCATTAACGGATCTCTTCTTTAACAGTCACTGTTCTTTCCACGATGAGCTACAGTCTCATCCTGTGCTGAACAACATTTCTGATGGTACTTCTATTTTTGGTTTAGTGCTCACAGCTGGAAGAAATACTCTTTTAGTCCATTTTGAATTGCAGGCTGTGAAATTTTATAATCTACCCTGATTTGCACAGTACTCTGAAAACAATAGAACAAAAAGTTGTGAGAAATTTAAAGAAGCAGTAAAGAATTGGTTGTTTTTAAAAACTGGGGTGAGAGTTGCAGTTCTGTTCACTGAAAAATTTTACTTGAAATACTTCTTCAGCCAATACTCACGTTTTTGTTTTCGACTTCGTTCATTTTCACAGAATTTCAGTTCTTTGTCTTACAAATACATACTCCAGTTTATAACTGTGTTATTTTCAATTTAGCATAACCTTTCTTCTTTAAAGAGTATGCTTACATTTGTTTTGTGCATGTTGCTAATGGAGGAACATGAACTCATCAGCCATATCCGGTCTCTATTCAGCCCAACACCTTAGTGTCCATATAAACTTTACAGAAAAGACTCTATTATGTATTTGAAAAAAGTCACAATACCACTTTCAATGCACTTAAATTTGTTTGAATAGAATACTTGAGGCTGATTTTTCAGAGAATGCTATGTAGCTTGGTGCAAAGTAGTTGGTTATTACTTTGTTGGTATTGTAGATGTTTTTCTGATGTTTACTTTGTTTTCTTGTTGTTATGTTCAAGCATTTATTTTGCAAACCTAGAAATCCTCAGCTTCCACAGTACTGTAAATGAACAAATTATTCTCCCATTTATTCTCATTGTTGGTTACCCCTAACAGTGATTGGTTGACTTGACAAGAAGGGCTGTGCTTTTGTATGTGCATGCAAAAATAACTTTTTGCTAAAATGTAGAGAAGACATAAGAAGACGCACACCTATAGCTCTCATTCAAGGCTGGCAGCCTCTTGGATGGTAACCAGCAGGGTTAATGAGTCCTTTTAGCGCTGTTCAAAAATCCAGACTTGGTCGTGTGGTATGAAGATTGTTGCAGTTTGTGCAAAATTTGGAGACAAATGCCTGTATGTGTATGTGTGTTTATATATATTTATATAGTAACTTAATGTATGATATTCCTATTCAAATGTAAGCTACTTTCTCTTTTAAAGTTTTGGTCTGTGTTGGTGGTTATGGGGGCTCATGGGGAGAACTACAAGAGCTACTTGAGGGCAGTGGTTTCTGGGGATGAAGGAGAACAAGTAGGACAGCTCCAGGGAGACCAGGCTGAAGAAGGTCCTGAAGGTGTGTGAAAAGCCGGGGTCCTGCGGGGGAGGCTCTGCTGGGGGTGCTCCGGGTCCCTGGAAAGGGGTTGCAAGCCCATTGCAAAGGCTCAGTGCAGCTCCTGAATCTATGCCAGTAGTGGATAGGGTGAGTTCATGGCAGGAATTTAAAGGTATGGAAGAAAAGGGAAGCCTGTCCTGCCCTCAAAACCAACAGAGCTGCGTGAGTTTTGATGAGTACCAGAGGCAGCTAAATGACTTCCCATAGTCTGAAAAGCCAATTCTCATCTTTTAATGTGATGAAGAAACTCCTCTTGTAGCTTCAATCCAGTAATGTAGACTCTTTTCCTTTACATGTTACCAAGAAAAGTAAATCTTTTCTTCCCAACTGAATTAACTTGCAGCTCTCCTCATCCCTGTGACTGCAGTGCTGTCTACCTCAAACATGCTTGGTATCCACCCAAGTCTCTTTACTAGGGCTTCCATTTAGGTCCCATGCCCTCAGGCCCTCTGATTCTTAATGTTTCACTGTTACACTGTTGGAGCAGCTGGTGAGTGTACTGCACAAGTAAACACTGGTGAGATTTGCTCCTGATAGTTTTTCTTCCTGTCTCCCCGGGATCCTAAGTCCATATGTTCCTTTTAATTTCATTCAGTTCTTTCCTTGCTTTCTTTGGGGCTTATCGTTCTTATCTGGATGAGTATCAGGCAGCCACCTTTCACAGGATATTTGTTACATTCACAGCAACTGAAAACATTTGAGACAACAAGGAGACAAGGATAGTTTCTGCTGTTGGGGCTTTATATTGAGAAACTGGCCTCTTCCCTTTCACACCACTTGGCTGTGGGTAGTAGTTGGCTGTTGGCTTGTCTGTGTGTTGGGCAAACTTAAAATTTGCCCCCTTCTATTCAAACAGATGTGTTCTCAGGAGGTTAGAATCAAAGAATCTATTCCACTAGCAATACAAAGTGTGATATAGCTGAAGATGATGCTGTGAAAAGTTAATACTCTTCATAGATCTCTGATGAGAAAATTCTTCTTGATCTGCCCTTCCCTTCTGAACAAAGCTTTCATAGGAATAAACGTCAGAGACTATGCCATCAGTGTTACCTTCTACCAGCAGCAATGCACCTCATTAATGAATGAAAAAAGTGTTGTGTAAAACAGGCTGTGTTGATTTTTTTTTTTTCTTTTTCATTTAGGTCAGAAGCTATCCAGCAGGTCGATCCAACAAGCATCAACTAAGGTATGATTTGGTGGGAGAAAGAGGGGAAGGCAAAAATCTCATCACATGGCAGGGAGTGTAAGTGGGTTGG